TTATTATCATCATCATCATCATCATCATCATCATCATCATCATCATCAACAACAACAACAACAACAACAACAACAACAACAACATGCTGTCAAGTCAATTCTGACTTATGACAACCCTTTTGAGAGTTTTCCAGATAGCATATACTCAAGTAGTTTACCATTCCCTTCTTCTAGGGGCATGCTGGGACTGTGCAGCTTGCCCAAGGCCATATAGGCTGGCTCTACTCCCAGGAGGCAGAGTGAGGTATCCAACTCTGCAGCCAGATACCTAAACCATTAAGCTATCCAGCCAGCTTGGTACTACATATATACAGTGGTGCCTCACTTAACGGGCACTCCGTTTAGCGACGAAATCGCTTAGCAATGACTTTTTCGGAACGTTTTTGCACTTCGTTTAGCGATGGTCCCTATGGGCGAGTTTCGCTTAGCGATCGTTGGGACCGTGCTTTGCATAGCGATTAAATTTTGGGTCCCCTGTTTTGCTTAACAATGGTTTAAACAGCCTCATGTTTGCTGTTTTTTAAATGTTTTTCTGTTATTTATAAAGTTAAAGTTTACTGTTTAAAATGTTTGAAATCATAAAGTGCACTTAATAAACCCTTTGTTAACCAAATTTGACTTTGTTCTGACTCTTTTTTAATTTGTTGTTGTATTTTCCCCCCCATTGAGATGCACTGAATAGGTTTCAATGCATTTCAATTGGGGAACCGCATTTTGCTTAGCGATGTTTCCTATGGCGATTTTTGCTTAAGGACGGCAATTCGTTCCTATTGGAACGGATTATCTGGTTTTCAATGCATTTCAATGGGAAATCGCGTTTCGCTTAGCGATGAAATTGCTTAGCAGTGATTTTTTCGGAACGAATTAACATTGCTAAGCGTGGCACCACTGTACTAGTTATTGTACGTAGAGTTATCCATGGTTAGATTCAATATCTGAGTTATGCATGATCTACAAAATCTGCAGCTATTGAGGGAGGAGTATCTTCTTGGTTTCCTGCAGATCAGGACCAAAAGAAAGCTGTAAGACCCAGAGCTCATTGCTGGAGGCAAAATGTTCCAACATACAAAAGCACAGAGATTCAGACTAGGTCACACCTCCTTTTGCAGTGCCTCTGCTGGCTGAAATCCAATATCCGCAGAATGATTACAATGACATGACGCTGAAAAAGGATTTGGTCATAGAAGGCTATAGCCACTGCTTGTAACTTCCAGTGTGGGTACTCATTTATAAAGAGGCATTTTCTATATCATGTCCTTTCTCATGAGGAACTCAGCACCAACAGTTCTACAATATAGAGCTATCTTTTGATATGGTTCACAAGCATCCCT